ATGATTCTAAAAAACGATGGGAAAAAGGAAAAACAAAAAGAAAAAAATGGGCCCACCAACAATGAGAAATTTTGGAAACGCCAATGACAAACGTATGGGGAAAAAGCTGTTTTGTACAAAAAGCTGAATGAAAAAGTTATTTAACCAAATATGCATGATGATATAATTTTTTGTACAAAAAGCTGAATGAAAAAGTTATTTAACCATGATGATATAATTTCAACGTTTTTGGCTCGGTCAAACCCGCTAAAATAGCGGTTTGACCAAAAGCCAAAAAACAAACATAGCCTATATGCCGTACATAAAATGAAAGAGTCATTGTATGGGAAGAAAAAACACACTTTTAAAGAGTAAGGGAGATTGTTTATATGGTTTGTACAGTAAAATAAATCAATTAAAAACTCAAATTTAACTTAATTTTAACCCAATCCCACTATCTCTCATATTATCAATATAATTAAATAATATAAAACAATCATTCATCACATTAATTTTAATTTACTATTCATCTATTCACATAATTTTAACTATCTATCACTTTCAATTATTTTTCTCCTACTTTACATCAAATCAACTTTAATTATTTATTTAAATATTATTTTAATATATCCACTAACAATTAATCATACCACATTTTTCAAAATTAACTATAGTTAAAAAACAAACTAAATAAAAACTAGTTGAATCCATAAACAATCACCCCCTAAAAATCTAATCTTTGGTTTCAGTGCGGATATAACATTCATTTAGGGCACATAAACAAAACCGATTTTAATTGATTTCAATTGATGTGAGTATGTTTGGATATAAATTTTTTGGGTGTTGTTGGATTTTTTAGTTTGGTTTGCTTAATTTTGAAAAATGTGGTATGGTTAGTTGTTACTGGGTATATTAAAATAATACTTAAAATAAAATAATTAAAATTGATTTGATGTAAAAGTAAAAGATAGATGATTTGAAGTGATGGTTAGTTAAAATAATGTGAGTGGATGAATAGTGAATTAAGGTTGATGTGGTGTGTATGAATGATTGATATTATTTAATTATATTGATAATATTGATGATAGTGATGTTGAGTTAAAATTAAGTTAAAAAAAGTGGTTGAGTTAAAATGTTGAAATTTTTTATACGCGACATGCTCTGTTTCCAATCTTTTAACTCAAAATTCAACTCAGTTAAACTCTTCTTAATATTATCAATTAATCATCTTCACACATCACTTTAATTTAAATTTAATATTCATCAATTCACATATATGTAACTAATTATCACTTCATATAACCTTCATCATACTTTTACATTAGATCAACATTAATCATTATACTTTAAATAATATTTAATTGCAACATCAAAATTATCAACTCAATCAACTTTATTCAAAACAACTCATTTAAATCAAACCAAAACAGGTTGAATTCATATCATAAATCCAATCACGACCTTAGAGCATCTTCAATGCTCAAATGTTGTTGTGGTAAGTTATATTTCACATCAACATATTTAACAATGTCATAACTTTTCATACTTCAATGTACAATGTAATCACAAATGTTGTGATGATATGGACATAATTAATGTTTACAATGTAGAGTAAAATGTGGTTCATCCACATTCTCCTCCACACTCTAGTTAATCAATGAAGAGAAGAGAGAGAATTAATCTTGCTAATTTTAAACTATTTAATTATTTAATTAATTTTCTTATTACATATTATAAAATTTTATATTTGATAAGTACATAATATTGTAATTAAACTACATTGTGCATTAGAGATAATTTTTTAATTTCATAATTGTAAACTTAGGCTGTGTTTGTTTAATAGCTTTTTGGCCTTAAAAGAGCTTTTTGAACTTTTTAGTTGTTTGACTTTTTACAATCAGCTGAAAAATATGTTTGGTAAACAGGTTTTTCAATTAGCTTTTTTGGCCCAATCCGCTAAAATGGAAAACGCTGCTTTTCCTAGCGTTTTGATTCAGCGGTTTGTAAAAAAAGAATTAAAAGTCTTAATTGCCTTTTTATTATTATATTCATACCACATGAGACGTAAGTCAAAATCGTCTTGGATTAAAATAGTGCACTGCTCTTAACTTTTTATTCAAACCTATAGCAATAAAATATATATCACATTTTTATATTTTAAAAATAGAAATAATTTTTTGTTTTTTAAAATTATAATTAATGTTACATAAGAAAAATATTCACATATTAAAGTGTAATTCCAACTAATTCTAGTATAATACTTAACAAATAATTTTACCAACCTTTTTTTCTAAAATTTTAAATATATATAATTTTAGTTACTTAGATGTACATAGAAACTTTAAGAAATTGTTAATGTAAGTTTTAGTTACTTAGATTTTCTTTTATATATTTTTTTTAATTGTTATGAGAGATATCGAAATTGGCTCATATTTATTTTTTTAAATAGTGATGACTTGTTATTAGTTTTGTTTATAGGAGGTGAACTTATTTACTCAATCAAAAAATATTTTTGTTTTATTATTATTTATATTTTTATTATATTTTAAATCACTTTAATAAATATTTAAAATATTAATTATTTTTCTTTCCTATATAATTATAAGTTCAATATAAATGAGAACGATAAATTATGTTGATGTCCTTATAAGTAATTTTGCATGTTAACAGCTAATTAAAAATAACTAATCCTACCAAACACTCTTTTACAAACCGCTAACACAATCATCTAGTCAAACCAGCTAACGCAATCCGCTGGTCAAAACAGCAAATGCAATCAGCTAACCGCTGATTACCAAACAAAGCCTTAATATTTTTCCTACATGGTTCACAATGCATTTAATTTATTGACATTTGTCAAAATTTATTCGATAGCAACATTATAACATTGGAGATGCTCTTACTAGCTCGCAATCACATTACATAGCATCTAATCACAAAACCCAGAAAAATATACAAGAACAAACATCGTTAAACACAACCTTAGAAATATGTTAATAATTCCATTATTAACATGAAAAAACACACAATGATCATACACCCAAAAGGGTTACCATTTTTATTTCAACTTTTTATTCGACAAATGCAACTAGTGCTTGATCTTGGGCTTCTTGACGATCATCACCGAGCAGTGAGCATGGTGAGCGCAATAATCACTTACACTGCCCAAAACAGCCCTACAATAACAAGAAGAATGAGTAGCTTACTTACACATTCAAGTTTCAATGAAGCCAAAAAAAAAAAAAAAAAAAAAGAAGAAGAGGAAACTTAAGTGATTAAGTACCTCTTAATTGCTCCATATCCATGGCTGCCAACAACTAATACAGAAGCATGGTGCTTTTCTACAGCCTCACATAGAACATTCCTAGCATCACCTTCAGCAACCTCGAATATCACATTATTCACCTGTTCATATATACAACACAAACAAAAAAGGGGATAATTAATATTTATCACGCGATATAAGCCAGAATTACAAAAATATTCATGAATTTTCATTTTTTTTCCCCTCATTGTTACACTTTTACCAAATAGGCAAATCTAAAGCAGAATATGTAGAACTTCTTTTGCTTTAAAACATGGGGAAAATCATACTAAGAAGATTAATGAATTCATGGTGTTTTTGTTTTTCATGAATTACTGAACCAATCCAACAAATTTGGCATATAATAAAACAGAGTTTCACAAAAAAAAAAAATGTTGAAATTAATTGAAAGAAAATTACAGATTTTTGTGTGCACAGATCCTTAGCTTTCTTCACGACCCTTTCGGAAATCTTCTTCAAATCCGCCTCCACAATTGGCAGCACATCCACAGAACCTACAAAAACACAGACATCCAAAAAAATTAAAAGAAAAAAAATAATAATTTTCGAAAATTAATCGCATCCCCCATTTTCACGATTGCAAAATCAAAACGAACAACGATGAGACAAATGCAGCGATTCGAATCGGAAAATTTATTACCGAGGCCGCCGAAGCCGACGACGGTCGACGGCAAGGGCTTGGCGTGAACGACGACGAGCTTGAAATGGGAATTTTCCGGCGAGGGGGAGAAGAAGTGCTGCAGAGTCCACTCCAAGGCGTAGAAGCTGTGGTCACTGTCGTCGAGCCCCACCACCATCGCCGATTTCTCCATGCCTACAAAAAGCTTGATCGGAAATTGAAAACTGAGCGGATGCCAAAAAAAAAAAAAAAAAAAAAATGGTGCTTGCAAAACAGAGTGAAAAAAATGTATGAGCTGTGTACGATTTCTGATTTTCTTTTTATAGAGAGAGGGATGATGTGGAAAACCGGATACTTGAAAACCGGGAGCCTTGTAAAGCAAATAATATGGCTGCTTGTTTTGGCCTAGTTGAAACTTAAAAGAAAACTTTTAGATTTTGCATGCAATGATTGCTATTTTTTAATTCCAAAAGTTAGGTTATTATATAACGTGGCCGTATGATATACGGGAAAACGATATTACGATTGTATTATAAATTAAATATATAAATAACCTTAATCATAATTAATTCTTTATTTTTAAATTAAATCGGGTTGAACACAGTCCAACCGGATGGACCGAGAACCGATTTATAACCAGTTTAATTCGCTTGAATAAAATATTTGCTCTCGAATTTTCTAAATAAATTTTATTATATTTAATAATTTTTTAAATAAAATTACATATTTAATTAAAATAGAGATTTATAAATTATTTATCAATTAGTTTAAACATTTGAATTTATAAATTCTTTAGTATCTAAGTAACACATTTTATATAAATTTATTACAAAAAATATTATATATATATTAAAATATTTATAATTAAAATCTGAACAAACTACAAATGATTTAATAAAATAGCTTGATCGTAATTCAATCACCTGATTGATCCTAAATTTTTCTTATTTTCTTTAAATATATCTAATTTTATGAAATAAAAATATTTTATGATTCATATAATAAATGTCTACACCACATGATAGTATATTAAGATTTTGATTTAAAAAAAAAAAATAGTATATTAAGATTATAAATTATATATCTAAAGATGAATTAATTATTTTTACTTTATGCATATTAATAAAAAATAAACATAGTATTTTTTGAAAAATTGAGATTAATTGTTTGATTATGCAATTTAAATAATATTTTTTAGCGTTCAATATTTTTTTTAAAGCATAAATATAAGGACCGAGATACTAAAACTTTTGTTATATTTAAAATTGAGATTTTATAAATATAGAGACTGAGATTTTAATGTTGTTCGTTGTTTCTAAGAAAGAAATAAAAACATACACACTTAATAAATCTTAACTGGATTTTAAATAATAAAATAAAATAAAACCCGAAATTTAAGATAGTATTTAATGTTGTATGATTTTAAAGAAAAAAATAAGAAAAATAATAAAACTTACTATTTATAGGCTACATTAAATTCTGACATATTTTTTTGATACTATTTTTGGTAAATAATAATTCTTATTATATGTATATATAGATTGTATTTGTTGAGTGTGGTCAGAGTGATGTGTAAGTTTGTAACGTGATGCATGGTTGGTAAATTTGTACAGAAGGAGTTAGAATAATAAGTAGAAAAAAAAAAACTTTATGTTATAAAAGTAGAGAAAAGAGAGAGAATAGAGAAAATGTATTTTCTTGTTACGATTTTATATTAAAGAATCATTAGCATACATTTTGTGGTATTAGTTTTGTGGGTTTGCAACTTGCAAGAAATTAACAAATAGTATTTGAATGCATACCAAATGATAATTTATATTATTAGATAGGGGTGTTCACGGTCCGGATTGGTCCGGTTTTTAGCTCAAACCATGACCAAACCGGGCCTAACGGTTAATTTTTTTTCTTGTTCATAACCGGATCGGTTTTATATTTTAACCGACCAGAATCCAGACCGCATTGGACGGTCCGGTTTGACGGTTAACCGGTTAAATACAAAATCTTTGTTTTGGGCCTTCAATTTTTATTTTTTTCATTTTGGGCTTAATTTTTATTTTTCAATTTTGGGCCCAAAAGATATTATTTGAGCCTAAAAATTAAGAAAAACAACAATAATGAAATAAAAAAATACACAATTCGTCTCATAAGCATAAATATACGCATTTCGTCCCATAAACATAAAAATACAAAAATGATGAAGATTAGATTATACAAACTGAACCCAAGCAAGAATTCATTTTTCAGTCAGTTTATACACCTGAAATAATAAGAGCAAAGCATTCATAGTGAATGTATTGTATTTGTCGGCCATAGTGAATGACTGAATGGATATATATATTTGTTATAATTTTTTAATATTTATCGGTTCGGTCCAGTTAAATCGGCGGTTTGCCGCAGGTAATCCGTTAACCGGACCGGTTATTCCGAATTTTTAAAAAAATTAACCACCGAATTTTTTAAGGTTTTTTTAACTGACCATTTAATCGATCCGCGGTCCGGATTGACGGTTTTTTCGGTTAAAACCGCACCGTGAACACCCTTATTATTAGATATTAATGCAATGAACCACTCGTCAACTTGCCGACACCAAAACCATTTATTTTCAATTTTTTATGTCCGTATCATATGTCATACTGTAACTAGTACGTAGCCCGTGCAATGCACGAGACATAAGTATTAAACGAGTCATTTCCACAGAGCTTGTCCGTTAAGTAGCTCGTACGATTCACGGGAGATATTAAATGAGTGGACATAGGGTTTGTCCGTTCAGGCCTAAAAAATAATAGAGTTTGATCATCTAAATTTTTACATCTTTTCATCAACGTCATTTTTTTTGTTGGAACATTAAACCTGAGTCTGGTAGCGCAAGCCCGTAAATTAATTAATATATTATCTCGCTCACATGTTTATAATAGTATAAATTTGATTTCATTATATATATATTTATTCTTTGATATAAGAAAAATAACAATTTTACGTAATCTTGTTCCTCGTATAATACTCATATTATTTTATTATAAAATTAATTATAATATAATTTCATTATTATTATTTATGCAAGTTATATATGTAGTCTTCTTCTTCTTTTTGTTTTATATAATTAAAATATTTAATGAACGTTCATATTATTTATTAATGTTATTAATTTAAATTATGTAAATAAATTTAAAGTATAATATTTTGTACAAACATTTTACAAAATATACACAAATGTTTTTTTAGAATTTAATTTTTTTATAATAAATAAACATCTTTGAAATTCTATGCAATTATTAAACATCCTTGATATAAATTCGAAATCATAATTGAATTCTATGCAATTATTAATTCTGTCCGATGTTGTGAGAAACAAATCATTCGAAAATGATTATATGTAAGTTGAGATAAAATGAAATGTATCAAAAAAATCTGATTATGATATTTTTATTTAAATGTTTGAATGGATTTGAATTTCAAATTACAAATCAACCTCCAGTTATTCAACTAATTTTAGAAAAGTTACCAGTTGTAGTAAAATGTACGTGACAATATATTATAAATATACATGACGTCAGTAGTGTTATGAATCTTTAAGTTCCTAAAATATATATTGTTTAGATATGAAACTAATTAACTT